CGGACAAAGTTTTGATACACAAATAAGGACTTTTAGAAATAGCAAAAATTAGTAAAATCTAGTTTATCACATGTCCTTCATTGTATTTTATATTTTCATTTTCATTGTGATAAAATATTAAATGCAAATAATATTTTTAGATTATTGAAAGTTTTTTAGATACTTTTTAAAATCATTATCTTGCATGGATCCTATCTGCAGTGCAGATTCTGCATTTTTTAGAGGGAGGAGGAGGGGGTATTCAATTTTTCATGAGGTTCTAATGATTAAAAAATTTGATCATAACAGTTCTTTATACTTTCACCAAAAAATAGGTGGTTTATCCCCCTATCTTACCCCAATAATATTTTGATAGAACTACTAAAACACTATTAAAAAACAAATAAAATAAAAATCTATTGAAGTTAAAAATTTAATAAAATTTCTTTCTTTGTTTTAAAAACAGGTAGCAACTCTCAATGCTGAGCTCTAGCTCTAATATACCCATCTCTTGCATATGGTCCAACTACTGACATGGATGCTACTGTCACTTGTTTTACAGCACATTCAGTACTTTGAGTATGAATTTTAATCGAAGGAGTTATTAAAGGTATCAATCTAAGTAATAACAACTTATCTCTGGTGAGCGAACAAGTAAAAACAGGTTCTTCTACAACACCATTTTCCCATTTAACTAGCTCTTGAAGAGTAGTTGCTGCAAAGTTTAGTTTAGGTGTTTTTCTTGGTCTGATTCGCATATCTCCAAGGATATCATTACCCCTTAGTTTCAAAATTTGATCAACTGCAAAATTGCGATCTTCTGCATTATTACTAGATAATAAAGAGATTAGTATACTTTCATGGTTCGCATACCAAGCCCCTAACTGGATGTAGGGAAACACAATTTCTTTTACTCTATCAGGTTGCATTCTAAGAATTCTCAATTGAGACAGAATGTGATAAGAAGCATCTTCAAGTCTGTTTTTGACCTTTATGTCAAAAAAAAGTTTAAAGTAAAATTGTAAACAAAATACAACAAGTATTTCTAGATTTTGCGAATTTTGATCATTTAAGTTGTGTTTCCTTGTCCACATAAAGACTATTCTCATGCCAGTAGTGAGCCATCTGGCTTGACTTGAACATCTGGGCCACATTGAATTTCTCTAAGATTACGTGGCAATAAACCAATCTTAACTGCTTTACATAGCTTGTAACATTGTTTCTGATCTGTTGACATATTTTTTAATATTGTTTTTTTTAATATGTCGACAAAGCTCTCTCCATTTGGAAGAGCTTTAAATTGAGGATTATACTCCATTTTATTAACATCAGGAAGAAATTTTCCCACAGGACCTACAAATCCAGTACTACATGATGTTGGTCCATCAATGCCTTCTATAAGGTGACGAAAAAATAATTCATTTGAATGAAGCATGCATATAGCCCAGTGGCACTTGTGACCTAACAGCTTTTCAAGATGCGTTATAGCACCACCTTTCCAGCCTGTGTTAATTGAAGTACTGTCAGCTCCAAGTACTAAACATGATTCAGTAAGATTATATTGTTGCAGCAAATTATAAACACCTTCAGCAATCTTTTTAGCTGGCTTATCTAGATGATTAGGTGCATTTGGGGTAAAATGGCCAAGATATCGACCACCAGGTTCTATAGTCACAGTAATGTGCTGCTCTTTGATAATAATAGGATGTAGCTGTCCATTTGATAATATTAGGATGTAGCTGTCCAAATCATTTATCATTGCTCTTGTTGAATCTTTCCTTCCGTCAAAGTAAATAGCAATATTATCTGCTTTCGGAAGTTTTAAATTATCATTTTTCTTTGCAACTACCATCACCTTTTTTCTCTCTCTCGTCAATTTAGAAAGATCACAAGCAAGGTAAGAGGACTCAGGGGTGAGAAATCCTGCCTCAATTAAATCTTGAAGATAACTTGTAGCAATTGCTGCAGTTGCGGCAGGTGAAATCCCAAACCTATAAAATAAGAATGGTTTATATTTATTTCTATTAACTCGTGTTGCTGCTCAACAAAACAAAAGTCAATATAATTACCTTATACTAGCCATAGCTGTGTTTTTTATTGACATTGTGTTATATCTTGACTTCTTTTCTAAAAACCGTGTTACAAGAAAAGCATAGACACCTAACTTTTCCTTTAGCAGCCTTTTAACCAAAATCTTAATTTCATTGTCTTGTTTTAAAGTTAAGTTAACATTATCTAGATTATAGTTTTCATCGAGTAAGCCAGGAAAAATATTTTTTTGATGTTCTTTATCTAATTCTATATCTTCTTCTGCGACCTAAAATCAAATTAAAACCAATATATATATATATATATATATATATATATATATATATATATATATATATATATATATATATATATATATATACATATATATATATATATATATATATATATATATATATATATAATAAAAATATATATATATATATATATATATATATATATATATAATAAATATATATATATATATATATATATATTATATATATATATATATATATAATATATATATATATATATATATATATATATATATATATATATATATATATATATAATATATATATATACATACATACACACATAATATATATATATATACACACATAATATATATATATATATATATATATATATATATATATATATATATATATATATATATATATATATATATATATATATATATATATATATTATTGTTATTATTATTATTATACGAAAAAAGAAAGTATTTATTATTAAGAAATTATATTTACCTCGAAGAATGCTTGTTCCTTCTCTATTTTTTTAATTCTTTTTTTGTAAGCTTCTTCATCGCTGACTTTTCTCTTATACTTTTTTCTTAGTTTCATTGTCTCAATCTTATCAGCATGTCCCATCTGCATGTCAGACTTTTCACCTGTCTAATTTCTTTGACTGTATAACCACCTGAGCTTCATAGTTGGAATTTTTTTAGAATAAATACAAGTGCAATTTATATGTGCTTTATTTTTACAATTTTTGGGGGAAGAACACCCAGACAGATCATGCTCGCATAGAAGTATTGTGTGAGGACATGTTATGAGGTCCATTAGGTTTATCTAACTTCAATATTAGCTCTTCTTTTACTTTTACCTTAGTTTTTTCCCATGCAATGTTTTCTACTTTCTCCCAAAGTGTTTTTATTCTATAATAAAGCGATTTCTCCCCAATAATAACTGGTTGTTGAAATAAAATACTTGCTTTTTTCCATTGAGCAAGAACAAGTGAAATTAGATCGCTAGCAAGATCTTTGTTAGAATATTTATTTTGGTGTAAATTGCATGTTATGCTTTTTTGTTCTTTTAATAAAATTCCTTTTTGAATAACTGCTCTGTTTGTAGGCAGCTCACTAGGAATAAAATCTTTTCCAGGTCCAACAAACTCAGAAATTCTAGTGGTGGATGAATATCTCGTTTTAACTTTCGACATTTATGAATAAATTGATAATATAACAAATAAAATGTTTACAGACTACGATCTTGTTTAGATATTTTTAACGGTGGAGAGCTAAGAATTTCTTTAAAAATTGATTTGGCACTGCGCTTATTATGAGAAACTAAACATAAAACTGGATTAAATTTACTTTATAATAATTAAAGTATATTTCATTTTAATAATGTCTAAATATGAAAATTTGGGTATCAAAATGTTTTCTAATCAAAAAGTTGTCCATAGCAAACCTACCTTAAAATTTAATTTTACATAAGAATACACCTTTTCCTAAGCTTTAATTTTATTTTTTTCAAAAACATATGAAATTCACTGTACCCTAATGTATATATATATCGTGTTTTTTTTTACTTAAAATTAATAAATCAGCAATTTTTTAAATTTTTTATTTTAGAAATTGACATAATAAGCAAGTATTTTAATAATATATATGTATATTTAAAATACTATAGAAGATTTTCAAAAACTTTCTCAAATATTTGATAACTATTTAATTCAATATAATAATTTTAATGAAAAATAAAATCTAAAATGATGTATTATTATTAAAGTGATTTTCTCAAGCTCTGAATAGTCTGAAAAAGCTATTCTTTAGAGTAAATCTAAAAAATTATTTCTGATTCTTAAACTTGCTCATTTTAGAAAAATTATCAATATATTAGGAATCTTGAAGAAATAATTTGTTGCAAAAATTATCTACGAAGCTTAACTTGTCTACTACCTTATATGTTCACATGTTCACGCTAATCTGTACCTTTAGCCTTTGCAATTTTTCAAAAATTTTAATTTGTTGCTCTGTATTTAATGTCATTACAATAACTGCAAGTTGTTTGTCATTTTCATAAAAATGGTCCAATGGTCGTTTCTGAAGTTATTCCACACCATACTGTGCATCTAAGTGGGTGCATTTAAGCTTCAAAAATTAATTTTTGAATTTTGCTTGCCCCTTTTTTTGCAATATTTTTATTCAAATGATCATTGAGGCGAAAACTTGCTTACTATGAGTTTGTAAATAAACTTATAGGTAAACTATATTCAACATGTAACTGCATCATTTAGTTTTACTTTGCAAAGCAATTAACCTTTATATAGGAAACAATGTAACGTAAATTTTTTGCAAAAACTGCCTAGACATCACTAACTATTGAGACATCACTAACTGCAAAAACTGCCTAGACATCACTAACTGTTGATTGCCTGGTGATTGTTTCGGAACTTTTCTCAATACTTGCTTCCAATCAAATAATGTTCTCATCATTTTGAATTGATAATTACGTTATCATAAAATCTGTTAACAATAATTATGTGTGTATGCTAATATATATTTATATTTAGTATATGCAAAAACTCAATTTAAAAAGTCGTTGTAAAATTTGCATAATAAAATTAAAAAGTTTATTACAAACTTATAAAATCTATATAAAATATCTAAATCTATATTTCAGTTAAAATATAAAAGCAAGGAATAATTTTTTTTTAATGTTTTTTTATTTTAAATTTAGAAAGTTGATAAGAGTGATGAAAATATTTTAACGGAAATAACAAATGAACTCAATACTTTATGCTCATCTCAACCGAAGGTTTCAGGGCAAATTTCTACTCAGCAGGTTTGTAAATAGTTTCTAAAAAACAGTTTTGATTTTTTAATAATTTTGAACTTTTCTAATAAAATTTTTGTGACAGGTATATGGATGTATTTTTGCTGAAGATGGAGTGTGGTACAGATGTCGGGTGGAAAAAATATTAAACAACAACATGGTAATCTAATTTTAGCTAACATAGTTTTAGTTGTCATTATTATCTAATAATATTAATACGCTAATTTAATATTATTAGTCGAATTACGTCATTTTCTAGGCTTTTCTATTTTAAAGTAGTTTCTAGGCTTTTCTATACGCGTTTTTTTTTTTTAATTTCATTTACTAACAACGCGTATTATGGGTTGCTTATTGCTAGTTATCATTATTACTATTATTTATAAGTGATAGAATTTTTTTTTTTTTGATGTTTTTTTACTAAATCAATAATCCTGAATCTAAATCTAAAATCACATTTTTGATTTAAAGGTTTTGTTGTTCAGATAGTGCTTAAGTAGCCTAGTCAAGAATTTCAGGAAAAGTTATCATTTTTTTGCTTGTGGTTTCATAATATATTGGATTTATATACACACACACACACACACACACACACACACACACACACACACACACACACATATATATATATAACTCAGGCTTGGTCAGGAAGGCGTGCGGTTTCACGGCTTTATATGACCACGCAAATAATATTTTGTTTTTGACGATTTGACCGCAGTTGGAACATTTTAATAATGCGCTGAAAACTTAACTTAGTTATAAAAAAACTAAAAAAACAAACTTATTTTAACAAAAAAAGTAAAATCTTAAAAAAGTAATGAAATATAAAATAAAAATAGCTCAGTAATAAATAACTAAATCAAAGATTTAAAAAAAGAAAAAACTAAAATAATTAATAAAAAATAAGATAATTAAATAACTTTGAATCTTTACTAATGTTTTTATAATGTAAAACTAGTAGTGTCCTGTCTTCTTTGTTACCGCACCATATAAAATTATATTGATATTAAAAAATAAATAAATAGTACTAATTGACAAAAAATTGTAAATAAATACTTTTGTTTTTATAAAAAACTTCATTGCGCATTAGTGGTATTTTTTAAAAAAATGGTTTAACTTAATGAGGAAACTTTTTTTAATAAAACTTTTTTGTTGTCGGGTAGGGGGCGCGTTTTACAAAAATGACGACTGACTAATAAACAAAAAAACTTATTTTTTCTTTATTATATAAACATAGCGAAACACTTTTAAACAAAGTAACAACTTTCAACTTTTAACTCCGGTCCACTTAAGGAAAATATAGATTGTGCACATGTGCTAACAGAAAAAACGTGTCAAAAGACTTTTTTTAACAGTTCAAACATTCATCTATCGAATTAAAAATAAAATTAATTTTTGTGTATCTTAATAATATACAAAACATAAAAGAAAAAAATGTTAGAAAAAAGACATGTTTCAAAATTGGAGGGTAGCCCTGGACATATAGTTTAACCATGATTTTACCTTTTTTTTACCAGTGTGACACAATTGTAATATATAATAATTTAGCATTGGACTGTTCTCGAAACAATTTAAAAAAAAATCGCCTTTAGAAATTGTCTCTGATATATAAGGAATGAAAATGAAAATGTTATCATTTAAAAATATAAACATAAGCTTTTTTATAATGAAAATAAACACTTTAAAAACACTTTTTTCTAATTTTTCTAAAAATGGAATTTAATTCCATTAAAAAAAAATCTAATTCTTTTTTAATGGAATTAAATTCCATGGAATTACTGTTATAGGTTTGTGTATTACATTAAATGTATTTATATTTATGTAAAAAAAATTGTTTATCATTAATATGTAAACGGTTAAGTTGTCCGAACCTCCCTCCAAACATGTGTTTGAAGGGGGGCTCCAGACAACTTACTAACCACCTGATCATACCTCATTCACAAATAGTAGTTTTAAAACCAGAGAATTAAACTTTTTAATAATTTTTTTTTTAATAACTATTGTAAATTAAAATATATCTTTGATCATTAAAAAGTTATTAGTTTACATAAAAATTAGGTATATTAATATGTGAATCAAATATGACAATACGTCGCTCTTCTGGTGGTAGGAAACTAAAACTTGCCCGCTCAGTCAATCTAGGGCATTTTATGATAGATATTTTCATATGCTATATTTTCAATCAAATAATGTTATTATAGTATTAAAAGTCACATAGCTTCTTTAGTTTAAGCTGTACATCAAGTGTCTGGTGTTACCCGCCATCCGGGGTTTACCCTATTTTTTCCTATATAACTTTAATAATTTTTTAATCTAAAGACAAAAGAAAAATACATTAATACTTTATTGTAAAAAATTCATAAGCAGTGAATTGTTACTTTGTTAAAAAACGTTTTAATAATATAAAAACATTAGTAAAGATCAAAGTTTAATTCAAACGGCTGTCTTTAATTCAAAAGTTTTTTTCTTCTCAACAAATTTATTCAAATTTCATTTTTAAAGTATAGATGAAGTTTATACAACTTTTATCTATACTTTAAATTAAAACGTTAACAGTAACTGTTACTTTATTTAAAAGCATTTCGTTAATATAAAAACGTTAGTTAAGATAAGTTATTTATTTTTGACATAATTAAAAATATTTTTTTTTTAAAAAAAAAAACCTTGGTCAAATCGTCAAAATGAAGTATTAATTGCGTGGTCATATAATGACGTGCGATTTGACCAAGCCTTTATATATATATATATATATATATATATATATATATATATATATATATATATATATATATATATATATTTAAATAAGCTGCAGCGAAGAAAAGGGTGAGAATGGGTCAATTGTAATCCCCCCTTCTCCAACAAAATAATTTTTCATATCAAGCCAAAACTAAATATTTTATTTAAAAATTGTTGGTGACGATTTTGGTTTATTTTTCACAAGTTTTTCTTTCATCAATATTTTTGAATAATAAATAATAAAAATCACAAGAGAAAATTTCTAAAATTTGTCATAAATATTTATTTTTTATGAAAAGCTACTATTCTAATTTTTAATTTAATAATCAATCTTTAATTTATTAATCAAATCAATTTTTTAATGTCTAAATTCTAATAATCATGATTATTTTTTAGTCTAAATTCTAATAATCATGATTATTTTTTATTTATCTATGTATTTTTATATATCAATTAAAAAAATACACTAACAAATAAAAATATAATAATATAAATAATTTTAATTGAAGATTAAACGAAATAAAAAGATTTTTTTAAGATTTCTCTAATACTGTTAATTACCTTTTAAAACCAATGCAACGAACTATAAAACTATGATCTTTTCTAATTTTCAAATAAAAAAGGCGAGCTCTTTCAAATAAAAAAAAAAACAAACTTTCATCTAATTATTGTTTAAGAAAAAACTAGCTTTATTCAAATTATCAAAAAGTATTTAAAAAAAAAGTTTATTGAAATGCAATCGTTGTTGTCATTGTTTACAAAATGAAGAATACAAATTGTTTTTAAAAAAATACATTCATCATTAAAAAAAATACTTTTGAAATAAATAAAAGTTTTTTTTTAATATTCTATGATAATTTATTTAATGGCGTTTTAAAACATTATTTGAAAGCGTTGAGCTTAATGTAAACAAGTTTTATTAGAAAGTTTACATATCATAACAAAAAAATAAAAAATAACCTTGTTATGTTTTCAACTGTTTTTTAGCTATTCAATTAGTGGATTCATCAAAAAGTTTCTTAAAAAAAATTGTATTTGTTCTTGCTTATAAAATTGATTGTACAAATTGTTATAAAAACATTTATATTCATTGTAAAAAATACACTTTTCAACAATATCTAAATATCTTTCGATAATTTATTTTAATATCTTTTATAGTATACATTCTTTAAGAGCAATTTCTTGCTTTATTACCTTATACTTTATTTAGCTCATTTTTCAAACGTTTTTAAAATTTTAAAAAGCTGTGGTTAAGTTGTCTCAAAAAAATAAAGCAATTGTGGAAAGGAAAGGCGTGTTATTGCACACCTTTCCTTTCCACAATTGTAGTACATATATTAACTATCTTATAGCCTGCTGCCAGTAGGAGTGCTACTACACCTAATGTGGGTTTGACTGAGCCCGCAATCTTTTATTTCCTTGTTCTTCATTTCTTTCTGAAAAATTAAAGCGCTTATTTTATAATAGGGGTGCAAAAAATATGTTAGGAAATTATAATTTAAGATAATTTATTTGTGATATAAATTTGAAGTCATAAAATTATAGTTTTATTATAAAATATTCTCTCATACCTTAAATTCTTAAAAATGTGTTTAAGCTATCTAATTAATAATGATTTTCTCAAATATTTTTTTTCTTTTGAATACTTTAAGCATTAGGTTTTTAAATTTTAATTCTTTTAAATTTAATTTTGAAGGTTCAAGTTCGTTATATTGATTTCGGGAATTGTGAGGCTGTTGAAAAAAGTAGTCTTGTCACACTGCCTGTGGCTCTATCTGGTTTTTCTCCTGTGGCATTAAGTTACTCTTTGTCAGGAATAGAACTTGTAAACGCGGAAGATACATCTGAGTTGTTCATTAAGGTTTTAGTCGTAACTAAGTTTTAATTTATTTTTATTTAATTTTAAATTGGTATTGTATTTTTATTATATATATTTTTTTTGTGAATTTTTTTTAAATTTGTTGTTGTAGGGTAGAGAAACTTTGAAAGAAATTATTCATGATAAATATGTTGAAATCAGTACAGAAAATTCAGATGATAAAAGTATTTACAAATATTAAAAATACAGGGTAGAATTGCTGAAATTAGAACAGCATCTTAATTGAAATAATTGCATTTATTTTAAGAATAAAATGTCTTATTATTCTACATTTTAAGAGATTTTAAAAGTAATTCCCCCAAAAATGCACGTGGATAATTGATTTGAAGGTTTTTTGTGTTGTTTTACCTTCGGTTATCCAGTTGTTTTTTTTTCTTTCTGTAATCTCATTTTTTTCTCATATCGTTTGCACTGGGTAATATGCTGTGGGTTGTATGGTTTTTTTTGTTTAATGCAATTAAACACAAAATAATAATAAACAAAAAATGATACAATGGGATTTAAAGTGCAAAAAATAACATAAACTTATATTATAAGTTTCAGCAAGCATGATATTGAAAATTATAAAATAGTCTGAAACTGTAAACGGAGCTATTAAGTCTTTTTCTTATATCATTAGTGATAAAATTAAAGGTTTAAAGAAATAGTTTAAGCACAACTTAAGAGTCATAACATAAGTTATAATCATAATCCTTTATAAAAAAAAATTAATTAAAAGAATGTTTTAATAGTTATTTGTTTGTAGTTATTTCAATCCAATTATGAATTTTTAATGAATTGTTTTAATTGTCACTGTAAAGATAAAATCAAATTTTAATTGGTTTTTGTTGATTTTGAGGAGTTTTTAAAAAAAGAAGCAAGCTGTTCTGATTAGAGATCGTCCATAAATTATGCAACACAAAATATATTTAAAGAACAGAAGTATGGGATATTAAGCTCCTTTATGTTGCAATTTTCATTAAACTTTATGCAATAATTTAAATTTTAATTTATATTAAGACTCTGCAAGGGAAAACTTATGATCTTTTTTGTTTTATTTATTGAAAAAGTTTACAATACGTAATTTATGGACAATCCCTTATGGAAAGTGCTCCAATTTAGGAAACTGGTTGCCTTAATTGGAACATAATAGTGTCTTAACAAAACTGAGTTTGTTTTCAATAACAGTGCAATCAATCCGGTTGTCTTTTTGTATTAATCAAATCATTAATGTTTTCATAGTTTAACCATTTTTGCTCAAAAAATGTTTTATCCTGAGGTGTTTCAAATTCAGCAACTCTCCCCTACTACTAACATTTTGTTATTTTTTTTCTTATAAGAATTTAATGTTTTTAATGTTTTTAATTGATTTGATCTTCTTTTTTAAATTTCTATATTTAATATGAAATTTTTTTTTCTGATAATTATATTTTTGACTTTATACCAGCATTTCGGCCTTTTATATCAATTTATATATATATATATATATATATATATATATATATATATATATATAGAGAGAGAGAGAGAGAGAGAGAGAGAGAGAGAGAAAGAAAGAGATATAGAGAGATATAGAGAGATATATATATATAGATATAGATACATACATACATACATACATACATACATACATACATACATACATACATACATACATACATACATACAAGCTTGGTCAGGAAATGGGTGCGATTGCACTCGATAACTGACCAGGGAAATAATATTTAGTTGCAAAAAACCGGCCAGATTTCAAAAAATACAAAGCGAAATTTCTAGAGTATTCTGTTAAAATATTTTTAAAAATTGTATTGAGTTTTGTTAAGTTTTCGTTGAGATTTCTAGCATAAATTGTTTTAAGAATATACTATTAAAGGAACTATTATTTTAATTCTCGAAGCCACATCTACAAAGTTATTAATGTTTTAAACTAACATTATTTGTTTACAAAAATAAATGTTTTAAATTTATCTTTTTTAACTTGTCAATGTTTTGTAAATATATTACAGATTGTATTAGTATATTCTTATTTTTTATACAAGGGATGTATTTTTATATATATGTAATATATTTTTATATATGTATTTTTATGCATGTAATTTTACGCATAATATTGTATTATTATGCATGCATAATAATGTATTATTATGCATGTAATTTTATGTATTTGTATTTTATTCATATGTAATCTTTTAAAGCATTTTGTGCGATTGATTTTGTAAACAAAAATACTTTCAATAATAACTGCGTTTTTAATGAAATTATTAATAATCATCAAAGTTAATACAAATAATTTTAACCACTAATCCATTTTCCTCAGTATACCTGTTAACTGATTCTTTCCCCCAAAAAAGAAAAGTCTTTAAGTTCTTAGAAATTGGTTTACTAACTTCAATTATTTTTGCTTCAGCCATTCTTACAAACTCGTTATACTTAAACTTAAAGTTATTTTTTTCTAATGTAAATACTAATTAAAATTGTAAAGCCCACTTACTAAACATCATCAGTGCTATTGTGAAGCAGTTCTGCTTCCTCCTCACATAGTAAGTTAACGTATTTAGTTGATTTCTATTTAGCTGATTGAATTTCTACAGTAATTAAATGATTTATTTATTTCATTTGTCCATCTTACTAAGAAAATATTTTTCAAATGTGTTAAACTTTTCAAACTACGCAAAGCATGAAACAGTTATTGAAAAATTTTTTTCATTTATAAATAAATCATCTAGTGTTAGTTTTATTGGTTGAATCTTGTTGGACTTTTCAGGGGCTGCATTATTTTGGTGGCCTTTTTTAAGTACCACAGCGTAAAATGACTAAAAAAATTACCGAATCGTCCTCTTAACTATTTTGCGGCCTCCAACATTGTGAGTCCCGAGGCTATAGCCTTTCCAATCCCCCTCCCCTTCCCACCTCCTCAATCCAGCACTGGAAATAAGACATAAGTATATAAATAAAAATTGTATATACTCTTTGATAAATCGAAGAACATTTGTTTCCTTATTAAATAATCATTAATAGTAAGTTGTTACTTTATATAAAAAATGTCACTTTTATATAAAAAATGTCTATTTTATAAAAAAAATTATAAAAGAGCGATGTTTCACAAATATTTGCTCTAATCGTATTTATTTTGCTTAAAGTTTTTTCGTGTTTAAAGCTTTTTTTCTTTTTTTAACTGTCTCTCATCGGTCCAGTTAATCTTAATGCGCTTTTTTGTTTGTTTTTGAAATGTTTTCAAAACGACTAAAAAATCAGGCCGGTTTTTCGCAACTAAATATTATTTCCATGGTCAATTATCGAGTGTGATCGCTTCCCGACCAAGCCTATATATACATATATATATATATATATATATATATATATATATATATATATATATATATATATATATATATATATATATATATATATATATTTATATATATATATATATATATTAGCAATTACATTTATTCCAGATCTTATAACAATTATTTTCAACATTTCTTAAGCGAATGGGACCATTACAGTCAAGAAACTTTTATATTTATATATAGCTTATAGGATTATACTTATCTTCTCTCTCTATAAATCTCTCTAAATCTCTCTAAAAGTAATTTATAGACCCAAGTGTTATTAAAAATATTATTTGTTTTAACTTATTTTTAACTTTTTATGCTAACTAAAAATTTTTATCTTTGTTGTTTAATATTTTTTAGATTAGGTTTTTATTACATAAATTGCATAACTTCATATGTTTTTTAAAAATCTATACAATGTATTTTTTAGAAAATGGAAACTTATGTACAATTCATTCTATTAATAAAGTCGAAGCTGGACCAGAATTTATTACAAAATTAATTTCTACAGGTGCTGTAAGAAAAAAAGTTGTAAGTCTTTTTTTACATTAAAAAAGTTGTTATATATATATATATATATATATATATATATATATATATATATATATATACACACACACACACACACACACACACACACACACACACACACACACACACACACACACAGTCAGCAAAATTTAGGTCGGCATTCGGCAATGCCAATGCAAAAGCCGACCTATCTTTGCTTTAGGACGGCATACAACTGCCAACCTGAATATTCTTAAGTGTCGGCATGCAAATTGAAATACATGTAAAAAAAATCTAATATTCGTTAAATATTATTTTATAATTTTTTTATTGTTATTACTTGCTTTTCAAGTTTGACATGTTTTATTAAAACAAATATTCATTTTTTTTTCAATTCATTTTTTTCTTTTTTTCTCAAATTATTCAACCATAGCAAAGTTAAAAAATATTACTTTTTAAATGCCTGTTGTTCTCAAGCTTTTTAAGTGCAATTTTTATTTTATTAAGATATAAAATCTAATTTTAATTTATTTTTTTACTTAAAACCATGTAATTAATTAAATAATTGACAAGTTTACGGTTTTTTTAGAATTATTTAAGATCAGAAAGTTTATTAGGAAAGTTTAGCCTTGTTATAGTTATGTTAAAAACATGCGTAGTAGAAACATATGTAACAAAACTTTTTTTTAATTTGATATAAGTTAAGGCTTCCATTAAATCACAACAGACATTCAAAACAATGTTTATATATAAGAAAAACAACTACTTTTAACTAGTATTTTTAACTTTTGTTTTCCCTCCATCAATTTACATATAGTTTATACTATACTACAATAAAAAATATTGAAAATCACCACCCCTACTAATTGAGAAATAAATGCTAATTTATTGTAAAGATTAAACAACTGGATGTTTACTGTCTACTCCATTTGTTAAACAATTTGCCGGCAATAACTTCAATAATATTTTAAATTCTTTAAAATATTATTGAAGCTATGCTATTATAAAGCAATCCTTTTATAATCAATTAATCATTACCCCTATCACAACAGAAAGCAAAAAATCCTTGTGATTTATCATACAAGTTTATAAAAAGTCATGGAAAAGTCATGGAATTTCATTTTCAAATTTGAGTGGTCACCCTGTACAAGATTGAGTCTGCGTGAGAATAAAAATGGCTTTTGGGTAAGTTCTTTAAATTTTTGCCTGAATACCATTTTCTTTCACAGCAATTTTTGGGCAGCCATCATTACCCTGACCATGCTAATTATTAAGGAGAAGCCTAAATATTTTGCAATTTTGAATGATACAATTAGATACCCTTGCAACGTCCATATCTGCCGCTATTTATTACTGCAAATGTAATACTTCTAGGAATTCCTCATGAATCATAACCTCCTCTCTTAACGTATTAATAAACTGCACTCTCAATGAAAACTTTTAAGATCCTTAAATATCTGTTGTTTCATCAACTATGATGAGAATCCAACAGCATTGTTGGCAGCTTTTTTAAATACTGTCTCCTCTCTCAATTCCTATACTCATCATGTTGTCGAACATTTCCTTTGTTATTATATTTTTTTCGTAATATAAATCATTTGTTCCACAACTTAAGATTGTAAAAATAATAGGATACATCTTCTTTCTGTTGTTTTAAAAAATTATTTTACTGGATTATCTAGCTGACAAAGAATGTTTTCAATTAGATAAATTATTGTTGATGTCCAGTATTCAGCATCTCGCTGAGCCCCTTGATGCCATGCTGAGCTGATATGGTTTTTGGCACAATCATTAAAGTTTTTATACTTTGTGAAAGGATTAGTAATGAAGACATCATAAATTCCTCTTTAATCTGGTTGTGGAAATAAAGCACAAAATACCCAAAGCACATCAAGGTGAATATGATAACCATAAACTATACTAGGTATTTAGAAATGTCACTATTGAAATTGTAGGACAGATGAGGCTGGTAAGTATCAGTTAGCAAACAAAACTAAAGATCAATATGAATTTTTGTAGTACATTTTTCATAGAGTTCTATGTCACACTTTTATCTAGTATCTGGTTTGAGAGATGCTGATGATGATCAACAAGCAGCATCTTCCTTTTTCTGTTTTTTTTTTTTTTGCAGACAGTTTTCTATTAAATAAAAGAAGATTTGAGTACCATTACAGAATTTTTAATAATTTTTTTTTTTTTTTTTTTTCTAGATGTATAATGCCATAAAGTTTTTAGAAAATTATTACTTTTATTATTATATTTTTAAAGTTCAGTTTATTAACACCTAACAGGTGTTAATAAACAAAAAATAATAAAAACAACAAATATTCCAAATTTTAAAGTTTTATTAGAGAAAATTTTAAAAAAAGCTTAAAGATTTTAGCAAACGAAAAAATTTATTTTATTGGTAATCTTTTATTTGTTAATTTTTTATTGTTAATAAAAAAATTTATTTTATTGTTAATCTTTTATTTGTTAATTTTTTATTGTTAATCTTTTTATATTTTATCATCATCCAAGTTCATTATTTTATTAACAAATATTTGTGCGTTCAAAGTTAATTTTATCAAAGTTCAATTACTTTAGTAGAAACTGTATTACCATATTTCACAATATTTTTATTTTGTCTGTCCTGAGGCAGTTTTGAACCCTTTTTCTAATTTTTTTACTACCTAAATAGTACTGACATACTACTTATTTTTTTTCTTTCTGAAACAGCTCAAACAACTAGTTAAATATTTTTTCGAAGTCATGATGAAACATAACCAAAAAAACTTTTTTAAATTGAAACCGTATCGCCAAAAAAAAATTTATACAGTGCGGTGCAAATTTATAACCTCACCAAAAATTCAAGATCTTACAAATAATTAAATAATTATTTTTAAATTATTAAATTGCTTGATATCTTACTTGATTAATATTTCATTTATAATAGAGACTGGTTTCATTGTGTTAATTGACTTGAAAATTTTAGAAAAATGATGTTGCAAAACTATAACCTCATTTCAATTTTACTCTACAAAATTCCACAATGTTTTGTATTGCATTATTTGAATTTATTATTAATACTTTTTTTTAATGCCACCATTCTGAATAACTTCAAATATTCGATTTGCCATCCTTTCTGAATGTTTTCTTAGATCTGCAAGAAATATGTTCTTCCAAATAAGTGCAATTGCCTTTTTCAATTCATCAACATTCAAATATTGTTTCTTTTCTGCATAAACCCATCTTACTAAGATGCTCCATACGTTTTCAATGGGATTTAAATCAGGTGAGAGCGTTGGATTTATTTAGTATTTTGTTGAATCATTTACAAAATTATTTATCAAATGTGGTGCGCGCCTCAGTTTGCAAGCGATTGTCCTGTTTGATAAACGCAATGACCTGTAGGCCCCCTTTGCTCCCACTTGCAGGCGCCCATGCTTATCATAATGCTAAGTGAATTTAGTATCAAAAATGTGGTGGAAACTAAATTCCAATGAGCAAATCTAGGCTTCATGTTTTTTATTAAATCCTGTCCAGAATTATTTAAATTTATTTAAACCCTTTATACTCATTTTCTTACAATAATTTTTGATAGATAAATAATTTAATATATTTATTATATTAAATAATTATTTTTAATATATTATACCAATGTTTGTTAGAACTCATCACTATAAAAAATGAATTTGATATTCAAGCACTTATATTCGGGTCAGGGTTTTATAAAAAACACGAAACCTGGATTTGCATACTGGAATTTAGTTTCAACCCAAAAATGTTTACTCAGAAAGCTTTTTGAACAAATAATGTAAACACTTTTACTGGTTAAAAGTTATTTTTATTAAACTCTTTGAAAGCCAATTCAAAGTTTTAACACTTTGTAAATATTAATGCTATCTGAGTGAATTCAACATCATGTTTTTTAAATTAGAAATTTACTCAGAAAATAAATATCTTTTAAAACTGATGCAACAAATTATCTTATTCAAACATTTTCTAAATATCTTATAAAACTTTATAATTAACATCTTCATAAAGTTCTTTGTTACAGTATCTGAGAGTGCTTTTTGTGTGGTTTCAATTTACCAATATTTTAGTCATGGAAACCAATAAAATTCTACCAAGTTGAGATGTTTTAGCATTTACTTTTTTTCTTTACACCACTATCGCTTTTAATGCCATAGTGTAGTGTAGTATAGCGCTTGCTTTATAAGCAAGAGGTTCTGAGTTAAATTCCTACCACATTTCTGGTAGTACTGCACTCAACTTGTTTCTCCACACAGCAGCCTTGCTCGTCAAGGTTTGTGTTTTGGACTTAAAGAGAGACTTTCGGAGTTAAGATAGAGTTATAACCACAACTAAGTAGCCTCCTCACCTGAAGTGACCTTCTCAGCCTTAGGAAGGTTAATTGACATTTTAAAAAAAGGTCATGGATTGCTAGCTACCAAAGCATTAGTCATTAAAAAGTAAAAACACTTGACTATGTAGCAAAATTGCAATGCGTTAAAGCTGAAGTTATTCAAGAAGTTTATTCAAGGACATTATTTAATTTATTTATACATTTAATATGATTTTTTACAACTAAAGACAAACCTAGATAACGTATAAGCTACTACATCATATATATAACAATGTGCTAAAAACTTTCCTCAATCTGTTGTGTATAGCAAAGCACATCCAGATCTGTAGCTTTTCTTTCAGTTTTTTAAAGTTTTTTAAATTAAAGAATTAACAATAACGAAATAAGTTATAGCACTTGAAGAAAACCGAGAAGGGAAGATGGGCACCAAGTTAAGGAATGTCAGAAATATTAACATTGCAAATAATTGAACAACTTTAATTGACTTTATTTTCTACATGGCTAAATATTCAGTACATAAGGGGTTTAGCCTAAAGTTTACGTTAAATAAAGTATGTAAGTATTATTTTAAATTTAAAAACGTTTGTTTTCTCTTAACTTGCTTGATTTCAAACAAATTGAAACTGATTACACTGATAACCCGTTTGTTTTAACATGTTTTAAACCTTAATATTTCAAACAAAAAAAATTAGGAAAATGTCCTTAGAAACAGCAAGAGGTCATATATTCTTCCAATACAAAATCCACAAAAGATATGAAACAATCAATTGCAAAAACCCATTTTGCACCCACCAACTTTATGTAAAAAATTACTATTCCATTACTAAGCAGCTAATTAAATCCTGTTTACCAAGATATTTTATTTACCAACAAAACAATAAATAATTAAAACAAACTAAGTTTTCAAACAATAGAACAAGAAACAATAAATTTAAAAACATGTTATACAACACAATCAATTGGAAGATTATTATAATGCAACTTAATACTGCATTCCGTTTTTTTATAAAACTATAGGGTGAGTGAATCTAAAAAAGCAATTGCTTTTACTAAGCATTTTTAGAGTAATTGTTCAGCTTTACATGAAAATTTTTTTTATCAAACTCACTTAAATTTTTATTCACATAAAACTGAGCAATCAACTCCAAAAACACTGAGTAATAGTTCAACTTTAGGTTAATAAAAGTTTGAGCAAAATTGCTGAATTTTTTACTCACGTAAAGCTGACTAATTGTAGAAAAAACGCAGTTGCTTTTTTTTAATAACCTGGCCTTATAGTTATAACCTTGTTTTATTATTATTATCATTGTTATTATTATTAATGTAAAGAACTGTCATGTTATTGATGTTATTAATTTAAATTGTTTAATGTAGGAGATTTTAAATTATTTTTGATTTTGTATATTTTTAATTATATAAATTATTAAATTTAGTTGTTGATGAAACTTTTAAAATTTTATTTTAGGGTTTGAAAATTTAAAGTTTTTTTAGTTTTGTTATTTTATTAAAAGTAGCAAATATTTTTTTCTTTTTAGTTATCAGAAAAAGTTTTTAATAAATCTGTATTTTCCCCCTTTTCTTCTTCAAACAACATTATATTGCAAAAAACCAGGTAAACAACTTTTTTTTTGTTAATAAATTTTATGTTATTTTAATTAATTATTTATTACTTAAATTAATAATTATCTTATATTTATAATTTCTACAATAAATAATTTCAAATCTAGATACTAATAAAATTTTTAGCAGTGTTATTAATATAAGCAAGTCTATTGTTCATGCTTAAATTAAATCTTATAACCTCTATCTAAGATATAAATATTTGTAAGAATGTTTCTTCTGATTCATCTTTTACATCAAATGACCACACTCTTTATGTCATCCTAGAGAAATAATTAAATTGTTGTTAGACATCCAAATCACTCTGACTTCACCTTCTTAAGTTATTTTTGTCTTATTCTATTCCACTGCGCGTGGTAGATAAAGCAATATTTTATTTCTTCCAAAAATGTTTTCTAATACTCTCTGAACTATTTGGTTTAGTTTAAAACTAAATAGTTGATATTGATAGTTATTATATTTAGAATCTTGATAAATATGTATTATTATATGCAAATTATAATTATAAACTAAATATACAACAATTGTATCAATATTATTGATATTCTTATAAGATTCTTTTATTTGAATATCATTTACCTCATCATTAAAATTAAAACTAAATTACTAATGATTTCTAATGGAAAGCTTATACTTTTTTATACAATATATTTCAAAGTTAGCATCAAAGGTTGCCTTTACCTTAGTAGGTTTGCTTTATTGTACTTACCATTCTACTAATAAGTTATTTGTTTTTTTATGGAACATTATTGTCATATTTAGGCTCGTTTCAAAAATTTATATTCAATTCAGTTAGAGAAAAACATTGTAAATATAGAAGTTTTTTAACTGCTAAGCTTAAGCCTCTATTCCATTTTTGTAAGTTTTCTTTCTTTTTTCTACTACCTAATTTGCAAATAAAATGAGCTATAACCTCTCGTTCCTCCAAATAAAACTCAATCCTACATGACTTGCAATTCACCCAATTAGTTTTAAAAAAATATAATAATTCGATCAAAAAACTTTATAAATTTATAAATAAATTTAAATTTATTTGCTTTGTGTGTTATTTTAGTTTGTATTGTTATAGTTTATTTTTTAATTTTTTTAGTCCAAAGCCAGAGGATTTAAAAGTAAGTTTCAGTAATTTTGTTGGCATATATGTGTATATAAATATATGTATATATGCATGTATGTATGTGTCTGTGTATATATATATATATATATATATATATATATATATATATATATATATATATATATATATATATACATACATGAGGGTGTCTGACCCTACCCCTCTCTCTCTCTCAAATATTTTATTTATTTTTTTAGAAATTGATATATTTAACACAGCACGATGTTTAAAAATGAAAGTAAATTAGGCTGTTTAAAAGTGCCATGAAAATTAATAAAATTTTGTGGTGCAAATTTTAAATTTTATTAAAATCTCAAATTTTAAATTTTATTAAAATCTCATATTTTAAATTTTATTAAAATCTCATATTTTAAATTTTATTAAAAGGATACAGGGTGCAAAAAATGAACATTACGTTTCTTTATTTTTGCTTATGACATTATTACTTGATTAAGACTTTTCAAAATGAATACATTACTTCATCAATTTTGTTTTTAATAATTTTGTTTTTTATTTATTATAAAAAACATGTATTTAAAATAAAAAACAATTAATTTCAGAGAATTTAAAAATCTAAAACATAATTACTTTGTTCAATAGCGTTAGTTTTAAGTAAAATATTTAAGTACACTATTGAAGAAAATAATTATGTTTTGCCACGGTTTTTGCATGCGCTTACAAAAGCATGCCAAATTGTACTTTAAATGAATGCTTTTGCAAAAACTTCAAAAGAAACCATGCTTAAACATGATTCCTTTCTTTTATTGAAGAAAGCAAACATGATTTTTAAACATGATTTCTTTTAAGAAATTAACAACTACATTTAAGTTTTAAGCAAATGCATTCATTATAAATAAAATTTTGCATGTTTTTTTTTTTTTTTGTTTAATTTTCTTGTTTTGCTAAAAACGAAGTAATGTTTGTTTGCATAATAAAAACACTTTTGAAAGTGTTTTTAATATGCAAGCAACGACAAAAAAGGTTTTATCTTCATGATAAAACCGTTAGTAATGATTTTTTGCCTCAGTACTTTTTTTTTTTGCCTTAAACTCTCATCTGTATATTTTTTCAATGATCGTTTTTACTATATCGCAATAAAGTAGTCAGGAAATCTCATAGCAATTTAATTGTAATTAATGAATAATTGTAATTAAAAATTGCATTTACATTTTTTTTGTTTTTTTTAGCACATTTTTTAAAAGGGCTAAAAGCTGTGTCCAAGTTGTCAAAACAAAGTATTATATGCGTGGTCATGTAAGGCAAGCGACCGCACGGCTCTTACAAGAAGGCCTGATAATATTTATACATATTTATATATATATATATATATATATATATATATATATATATATATATATATATATATATATACATATATATATATATTTATTTACTTATTAGGGTGGTGCTAAAAACAACTTTTTTTGAAAAGGTTACCTGACAACCCTTAAATGTGTTTTATATAACAAAACAAGACTGGATTTTAAAATTTTTTGAATAAAAATTTTTTTTAAGAGTGCCATGAGACCCTTATACATCAAACAGGTCTCTAAAATTATCAAACAAAAACGTTTTTTAAAAGTCGTGTTGGGTCTCAAATAATGCAAAATTATATAAAAATTTCAAAAATATGATTCATTTTATAAATAAATTATTATTTTACATTTTAGAAAATGACAATTTTTAACTTATAAAACTATTCACCGGTCTTTATGACAAGATTTGAAAAAAAGTTGTTAGTCAAAAATCTGTTCCAATTTTAATAGAACAAAATACAAAGAAATACTATACTTGCAGCAGCAAAGAAATTATGCTCACATGAAAATTTGAGGGATATATTCATTAACCCATATAAAACATTAGCTGAAAGAGTCTGCTTTAAGATAAAAAATAATTTATGTTTTAAGAAAGGAAAAAAAAAGGAAAAATAACTCTTTCCAAATTTTGATATATTTGTTTATTGGATTCAGAGGCAACAGGTTGCCAAGATTAATAATATATGGTGTGGACTCAAATATAAAATTGAAAAAACATTAGTTGGTTGTGTCTACAGACCTCCTAACTCAGCAAACAATTCAAACTTTTGTAAATCTATTCTAGCAGCTAAACGTGTTAACAATAATAGTGATTTTACAGGTTTTTTGTTGACCGAATATAAAATGTTTATGTTCAGATCTAAATAGTTCAGAATTTCATTTCACAGAAACTCTAAACGACTGCTTTTTGTCACAAAATATATTTTTTCCAATATTTCAAAAGACGGTTGAAGATTCGACAAGCATTCTTGATCTTATATTTAAAGAAAATTCAAATCGTGTTTCTAAACTTGCATCAAATTTTCCTTTAGGTAAGATTGTTAATGTACATATGATATTGACTTAGAACTAAATATGATAAGAGCTAATAATATCAGAAAAAATTTATTTCAAGTTATATATATAAAAAAGGTGATTATGTTAATATAATAAAATATTTTAATTTAATTTATTGGAAAGCAGTATTTGGGGAGAGAAATATTATTCAGTGTTATAACAAATTTTTAGAATTATATATGGTGGCCTCTAACAAGTTTATCCCATGTATAAAATACAGACAACCATGACAAGCCTAGATTACATCTGATATAAAGAAACTAATAACTGAAAAAACAAAACAAATATAGTTTAAGTTTATTGCATCAGGCAGAAATAATCTCTAATTATTAGCAAAATATAAACTTATTAAAACTAAGACTCATCATTCTATTGAAAAAGTATTGAAACAATTTGAACATGGCTTAGCTAAATGTTCTAAATCAGATCCTAAGAGATTTTATGCATGCGTGAACAGCAAGCAACAGTTAAAGAAGGAATTTGCACTTTAAGGTTTCTAGATGAAACTGTGAGTGATAACATTTTAGGTATTATAAATTTGTTAAACACATATTTTCAATCTGTTTTTACTCAAGACAATAACAAAGCCTTACCGAGTTTTGACCCTGTTACTTATGTTCACTGTGAAAATGATATAAACAAAATGATCAGTTTAAAAGAAATTCTTGTACGATTAAATCATTGGATAAATACAAATTCTCTGGGAACAATGGAGTACACAATATGTGCTGAGTACCTGTTCTTTAAGTCTGAGTTTTTCTATTGAACATACTTTTAAGCTATCACTTAAATTGGGAATGGTACCAAAAGCATGAAAAGATTCAAACATAGTTCTGATTTTCAAAAATTGTAATAAGCTTGTTCCTACCTATTATAGACCTGTTTCTTTTTTATCAGTTATTTGCAATATTTTAGAAAAAATATTTAAAAAAACTATCATTAGGCATCTTTTAATTTTTACAATAATTTGATAAATAAGAATCAGCATGGTTTTTTAATTGGCTTTGTGTTTTAATTGGTGTACCGCGAGGCTCTTTTCTGGGACTAATTTTGTTTTTAATTTATATCAATGATCTTCCAGATAAACTATGATGATTGCAAAGTTTTCCACATAATCTGTGATAATGTCAGTAATGATCTATAGGATGACATAAATTTTATTTTTAGTTGTTGCAATGACTGGAGTATGCAACTGAATAGAAAAAAATGTAAAATAATGCATGTCGATAAAAGTAATAAATTAAATAAAAATATCAATAAATATTACATTTCTGATTATCAATTGAGTGCTGTCGATTGTGTAAATGATCTTGGTATCTTGGTTAAAAGCGATCTGAAATAAGGTCATCATATATTTGCATGTGGATGGCTTAATCCGCAAACCAGTCAACGCCATGTTTGGTCGAAAACCTGATTTTTATGCCATTTTGTTGATCTTCAAATTATCTATGATACGCAAAACAGCCCAAATTTAAATAAAAGTATAAATACATTAAATCACCCGCTCACATACCAGCCAACTCCGGGTTTACAAAAAATGATTCACCAATCCAGCTAACTCCCGCCAATTTAGCCATTTTGTATTGTGAAGTGTCAGATAGCAGAGGCCTTTTTACAACAGCTGTTGCTTTTGGTTCTTAAAATAACATAAATTTGAAGTTTTCATCTGTAAGGATCTAAATCAATGCAATTTAAGATTTTTAATGCATATTTGTTTCCAAAAACAGTTGAATCAAGTTTGATAATTACATTTTTCGTTACCAATTGAGTTAGCCTATTTGTAGAATGAAGTTGTAAATTATGTTGCAGTTAGCTGTTTTGTTTTCTTATTTATTTTCAAAATCAACTTCTTGTGTTTATTAATACTGTATTTGATTATATTTTAGTTATTTCTTAATATGTCATATTCGATTATATTTCAGTTTATTCGATTATATTTTAGTTAATTCGATTAATTAAAATAATAATTAGTTTATTTGATTATATTTTAGTTATTTCTTAATATGTCTTTTAGTTATTTTTTAATATGTCATGAATACATGAATCTTGAGTACATGAATTCCTTGAAAGGATTAAAATATACTTGATTTTTTAGAAAGTCATTTATCGATGACATTGGTAATTGTAGTGGAGAAATGCAGAGTGATTTTTCAAATTCTCATAAAAACAGTTCTATCAAAACAATGTCATTTTTGATTTTTGACAAAGATTTTATGTTACCAAATTACACTATTGTTTTTGATGAGGAGATTTTCCCAACGCATCCACAAGTCCAATTGGAGTCTCCAGTCAAGCTCTTGTGCCAAGTCAAGATCCATGAATACCTTGGGATATAGATAGTATATAATAACTCCCCATTTATAAACAATCACATAAACAAAGAAAGAGATTCTAACGCTCCCTTGGTCCCATATTCTGAGCACTCAGACTCGGAGTCTGATGGTGATGAAGTCGAGTCAAAAAAAGTCAAACGACAAAAAAGATGCCAGGTTGACAAATCCACATGGAAAGATCAGAAAAATTTTGCCGAAAAGAGACTATTTTAGGTCGCAAAAGAATAAGTAATCACAATCATAACTGAAACCAAAATGTAAATGGGCATTAAACAAAAATTCTTTCGATATTTGGTAATTTTTGACAGATCGAACAGAAATTTTCGTAAATTTTTGGAAGATGACTTAGAGAGAAAAGTAGGTGTATGTTGATAGTCTTGCCAAATGCTTTCCTACCAAGAGACTAAGAGACAGAACGGCTGCTTCAAAAGTTATAAGACTTAGCTCAATTGAGTATTATTTAAGGAAAGAGGAAAACTTGTACAGAGTTTGTAAGACAATATTCTTAAACACTCTGTGTATTGAAAAATCATTTTTGTGGGGTTGGCAACAATCAAAATCTATCATCAAAATAGTATCATTGGTAGAATCACTGAAGACTAGAGAATTCATTTCATATTGAAGTAGCTTCACTCAAAAATATTTTCGAAAGTTTGCCAAAAATAGAATCACACTTCTGTCACAAAGCAACTTCTAAGAAATATATTTTACCCAAATGGTCTACAAAAAAATCTCTTTATAATTTTAATGTGTCTGAATAATGTTTATTAAACAACATTGTTCGTTTGTCTGTAACAAGATTCAACAACACCATGGAGACTGAAAATATTGCTCTATTCCAACCTAAATACAATTTATCTGAAAAATTTTATCACACAATCTTAGCTTTATATCAGACCTAGACCACAACCAACACATACAAAGAAAAAATGAAGCACGAATTGAAAAACTAAAACACAAAAAACAGGAAGAATTTGTTTTTACAGTTGATGTACAAGCAGTTTTGCTTGCGCCCAATTCAAATGTTTCTTCTCTGTATTATAAAACGAAGCAATGTGTTCATAACTTTTGTTTATTTGATCTTACTACAATAGTCGGGTACTGTTACTTGTGGAATGAAATTGAGGGAGGACTAAATGCTGAAGAATATGCAAGTATAGTGAAAAAATTCATGATCCAGAAATTTCTTCCCACACTCAACAGGCAAGACAATGTTAAATTGATTTTATATAGTGTTGCGTGTCACAAAATAAAAATTCAATATTTTCAAATGTTTTGATGAATATAGCTATTTCAAAGCAAATAATCATTGAACAGAAGTATTTAGAGGCTGGGCATACCCAAATGGAGACCGACTCAATGTATGCACGTATAGAGAAAAAACTGAAAAATAAAGTTATTAATGTACCTGTAGATTACTACGGAATTCGTAGGAGTGCTCGGAAAAAACCAAAAACCCTATGATGTTTTTTACCTGACGTATTCATTTTTTAAGTCATTTTACTCAATCATATTTTATAAATTAATAAGACCTGAAAAACAAATTATGCAGGAATAAACAAAAATATTTTTTGTTTATTCCTGCATAATTTTTTTGTATTTTTAAACCATTTTCTAGAACTCAAAATAAAAAATTTTTATCAATAATGTTATTACAGCAATCATTAAAGTTATTATGGAAAATCAGCCAACTCCTAAAACAATTTAAAATTTGGTTATTAAACTGAGGCAACTCCAATTATTTCTCCTAATTATTCAATTAAGTTAAATATCCTTAAAACTTCATTGTAAACCTATTTTTGAATTGTTAATCTACTAAATTGTGTTTTGAAACTTTTGTTTTCCATTTAATTACGAAATTATTCAGTTTTTTGTTGCCATAGATGTGTTTCTAAAGCAAATCAAATTTTAAGTCTTATTCAACCCATTTTCTTTTTAAATGCTGATATACTTAAATTGTTATATGTTTTGCTAGCATGCTCTCATCTAGAATATGCATCTTCTATTTGGAATCCATTTTTAAAAAAAGACAACCTTATTGAAGGAGTACAACATATAGCAACAAAACTAATTCAGAGCTTCTTTATGAGTAATATTCAGAGCTTCTTTATGAGTAAAGATTAAATAGACTTAATTTAACAACCTTATCTATGAAAAGAGAAAGAAGCAATATAATTGGCTTTTTTAAATGTCTTAATAAATCTTATAAGCTAATTACAGTATCTTCCCTAAGGAATTCATGTCAACCAACTGGACCAGCTGGAAGTGTTTGTGATTATATTCACAATCATAAATATAGTTCTGAGATCTGTAAGAAAGAATTTTTTTCTAATCGTATTATTCCAATTTGGAACAATTTGCCGTTTGATATAGAACTTAATAAGTAAGTGTTAAACTTTTAAAAAGTCTTGACAAACTTTACTGTGTGAATTAGTTCGTATTAAATTGTAGTTTTTAAACTTGCTGCTAAAGTGGATTACCACTCAGTGAGCATTTGATCACCACAGCAATTAAATAAATAAACTTATAACAAAAAATGGGAATCCAACATGATTTTTAAAATTTTAAATTTTTTTTCTGTTGTTTTTTTTTAATAAAAAAAGTGATTATATTTGAAATTATTACATCATTTTGCTTCATTAAAACATGACCTACTTTTAAAAAAATATAACGGACCTGATTTGTGTATAAGGGTCTTGTGGCACCCGTAAAAATATTTTTTATTCAAAAAAAATTTCAAATCCAGTATTATTTTGTTATATAAAACACATTTAGGGGTTGTCAGCTGACATTTTCAAAAAAAGTAGGTATTAGCACCACCCTAATACATATATATATGTATATATATATATATATATATATATATATATATATATATATATATATATATATATATATATATATATATATATATATATATACACAAAATTCAAAATCATTTAAACAACTTGAATTAATTAACTTTAATATTAAAAGTATACTTTTAACAAACTTTTGTGTCTACTTCAATTATCATCTGTTAAAAATTGACAAAAAAGAGATAGAAAATTGACTACTTAAACACTTTCTGTGATGGAACGTCATTTATTTATAGATACATACATACAAAGGTTGTCAGCTGCCATTTTCAAAAAAAGTTGGTGTTAACACCACCCATATATATATATATATATATATATATATATATATATATATATATATATATATATATATATATATATATATATATATATATATATATATATATATATATATATATATATATATATATATATATATATATGGGTGGTGTTAACACCAACTTTTTTTGAAAATGGCAGCTGACAACCTTTGTATGTATGTATCTATAAATAAATGACATGTTCCATCACAGAAAGTGTTTAAGTAGTCAATTTTCTATCTCTTTTTTGTCAATTTTTAACAGATGAAAATTGAAGTAGACACAAAAGTTTATTAAAAGTATACTTTTAATATTAAAGTTAATTAATTCAAGTTGTTTAAATGATTTTGAAAGTCATTGTACTTCCTAATGTCATATAATAAAAAATGCATCATTGTAAAATGTTTATTTCACAGTGAACTTAATTGCATAATCTAAATTAATTTACTCTAGAAATGGAGCTGACAACTTTAATTTGTCATTGGTCAAATATTTTTCTTTCTTTTTTATAAAGAAAATTTCAAGGAATTAACAAAAGAAATTTTGAAATTTTTATGTAAGTTAAAAAATACACAATAAAGATATATTTTTCCAAAAGTTTCTTTAAAAACTGATTTTTTTTTTTTACTATATGTGTGTTTATTTTAAATTTTATGTTTTTGCATTTAACGTTTTTAATAAAAACACATTTTAGTTTTGAATTGTGTAATACATGTTTATATTTTGCAAATTAACATAAAAGTTTTAGTAAAAAATGTTTATATTTGCACATTGAAAAAGTAATATGGTTGATTATTTGTATACTTTAAATAAATGAAATTTTAATTGCAGCTCTTTCCTTTAGTAATGTAAAAAACAAGATATTTGACCATTAATGCTTTTAGATAATATATTACTTTTAAACAATGACTTTTAGTGAATAAACATTTTTTTAATATAAAATAAATGTGCATATAATAAATAATATATAAATAAATAAATAATAATAATGTATAATAATAAAATAAATATTATATATATAATTAAAATAAATGGTATCATTAAAACTACTGCCTGTTCAAATAACAATAATATTATTTTAAAAGACGTTCTTCATAAAGAAAAAAAAAACTTTTTTCCTTGCAAATCTAAAAAAAAAATTGCAAATAATTCGCCACTTCTTTAGCCATATTTTTAATGCGTGAAAGCCACACTTGATTTTGCTGAGTTTACTAATGACCTAATACTGATTGATAACTCAGATGAATTTGACTACTTTTTTATTTGCCTTAAGCAATAAACTGATTTTATGTAAATTATCAGCTCACCAATTTTTTCATCGCAGAAAATGTGTTACTTTCAGTAGAAATTTTATATAATAAGTGCACAGTAATTTAAGTTAAATCTATAGTTTCAAAATGATAACTTTATTTTCCTAAATATCTCACATCAGAATATTTTTTATAGTAAGTTTAGAATTTGCAACATAATTTTAAAAGTTTCAATACGATTAACGATATGGGTTTGCAGGAAACTGACCTTATAGTTGAAACTTTTTCTTGTTTTTCTGCGTAATGTAAGTTGTAGTGTAATTTTGATCCTAGCTTTGCCTACATTTGCCCTTAATGCTTTTGACGTGGGCAAAAATTTGTCCCCTCTTTTCTGTCTTATGGTAAGACCTTTAAAAGACCAGAAAAGAGGTCGCCAAATTTTTGTCGACCTCCAACACATTAAGGGCAAATGTAAGCAAAGCTGGGATCAAAAATACACTACAACTTTCATTACGCAGAAAAACAAGAAAAAGTTTCAACTTTAATGTGCATATATATATATATATATATATATATATATATATATATATACACATACACACACACACACATACACATACAACCCTCGGAATTAGGAAAAATTGATCTTTTTTAGGTCGGCATCATGTCGACATAAGTTATTTGATAAAAAGGTATGACCATAAAACATAGAAACAAGGTCGGCATTGCCGAATGCCGATCCTAATTCCGAGGGTTGTATATATATAGAGAGAGAGTGAGAGTAGATAGCATTTTAAGTTTGATGAAAATATTTTTAGGTTATAGATGAGAAAGCTAAAGATTTGCAAATGCAGCTTGAAAATGCAGAATCAGAAATAAAAACATTAAAATCAAGACTCAAAGAGTTAGAGATAATACAAGGGAAGGTCACAATACAAGAAAAGAACTTACAAGAAATGCATTTATTAATGAAAACACCAGTTACATTTTGTTTACAAAAGCTATTTAAAAATGTTCAGAATTTGCGTAATGTTAGAGCTAAATTTGCTTCAGGAGAGAATTTATTTCCTGCTCAAATTCAAAAAATGGTTGATTTGATGTTACATTCACATGAAAATATTAATCTTGGTCAGATGAGACACTATCAAAATGTCATAACTACTCAAAGTTTTATAAAAGAACATAATTATCAAATATCTAATTGCACAAATAAAGAAAAGTTACAATCTTTAATAGAAGCTCGTGATAAAGCTATTAAAAAACTTGTTCATGAAATAAAAGTTTTTTTAAAACATGTAGCATTGCTACCAACAGCTGAGCGGTTGAGCAAGTTGAAATCTGTTCAATGCGAGATCAATAATCAATATAAAAATGTTTTAGAAAATAGACATATTGTTGAATCATTGGAACATCCAACATTAGAAAGTGCTGTTGAAAAATTTGAAACCTCAACAATGCTTAAAAATGATAAACTAAATGCTCTGCAATTAGCTGCTAATGAAAAAAGCAATAAATTTTATACAGCTCTGAGTGAATCACTGCGTGAATGTCATTGTGTAGTTAAGGATGTCAAAGGTGAAGTGGAAAATATTGACAATTGTATAAAGGAATACGAAGAGGCAATTAATGAAGAAATCAATCAAATAACTGTAGGTTTCTTTCTATTTAGTTTATTTATTTATTTTTTTATTATTATTATTATTATTATTCTTTAAATAAAAAGTAGTTAGATCAATTTATTATTGCATTTAAAATTATATTTTATATTTTAATTAAAATTAGAATTTTATTTTTAAGGCTTTAGAAGAATTATATAATAATGAAAATGTCTTGAGCGATGTAGTTATTGCATTAGAAAAATCTATATCATCTGAAATACTTGATATTCAAATCTTACAGTATGTTTTTTTATTATTCTTTTTTATTGATTACTCTCAGTATGTGAGAAGCATTGAGATTTTGTGTTAGCAAACATCATGTTCATATTTAAAAGCAAAAATTAACTTGAAATTTTTCTTGATAATTAATATATTTATATAATTATAGTTATTGTTAGTTATTGTTATCATTAGTTATTATATTATTATTAGTATATATTCGTAGAAAAAATATTTCTTTTAGATAAGTTTATTTTATCTTGATCTTTATTTTTTCAGATCCAGCTTGATTGCAGACTATGAAGAAATGATGGTATAATTATAAATTTTTTTCTTTCGTTTAAATATTTATTACCTTTTATAACAAATGTGTAAACGTAGAACTTTCATTTTAGTTATGATAATGTAATTATTTTCAGAATGTTTCTTATAGATTGTTTACTTGATTTTTTACAGCATATTTTTTTTTTTTTTTTTTTTTTTTTTTTTTTTTTTTTTTTTTTTTTTTTTTTTTGCATGTGAATATTTTAGAATTAATTAGGTTCTATTTGATTATTATTCATTATGAAATCTTGTTTTGATTTAATTGCATTTAAATAAACCTTTATATAAACATTTATAAAAATTAAGCAAACTACTAAATTTTATGTCTATGATATATCTTATTTTAAGTACTTCACGACTTACCATTAATCATTTTCTAAAATGATTTATAATGAGTTATGGTAACGTCTCTCCTTTTTTAATTGGCATTATAATTTTTTTTTATATACCATAAAATTGCCTAAATTCGGTCACCATGTAACTTTAGTCATTTAAAAAAATATATTAAAAAAGCATACAAATCTTAAATTTTACCAATTTTTTTTTCTCAAATAATATTTGTGATTAGTTTGTAAATATAAATCTATAAAAAAATAGTAAGGTTTATTCAACCTGCTGAAAGAATTCTTTAGCAAAACAACAATTTGAAAAAATGCATACTATTAAAATGTAAAGTGAGCAAATTTTTAAAATAAATAATTATATTTATTCTTAGTATTATTAAGAATCACCATATTAATTATATTTACAAAAAAAAAAATTAATAATTTTTGAAAATTGATTACTTTTTTTAATAAAAATTAGTGAAATTTTGAACTACTCTAACTTTGGTCATTCACAGATAAACATCAAATGAGAATAGCAGTAATATTGTGAAATGTTGATATGTGTTGCAAATGTAAAATATACCGTTTACCTGCAAATTTACCAGTAAATTTTGACATTTTTATAATGGGTACACACCATGGTATTTTATTTGAATAAAAAGTTTATTCATAATTATAAAATTAACTAACGGTTCTTTGAGTTCTAAAAAATATCATGCTTGTGACATTTTTTTTGGAGATAAAATTACAGCTCAACAACAATTATGGATGTCTTGCAAATCCTGTGACGATTGGTTGTGTGGATCTTGATGTTGTACTATGGTCAACAATATATGCAAGAATTGTCAATAAACATACAAAGCTCATTTAAAGCAAAGTAGGGTGAATGCAAGATGCAAACTTGAGTCAAGTTCAACTTGAACTTTACTTTGTAACCAATAGCGACAGAGTATTTATTGAGGGGAAAACCCATACTCTGTCGCAATTGGTTGCAATGTAAAGTTCAAGTCGAGCTTGACTCAAGTTCGCTTCTTGCATTCCACCCATAGTGTTTTTTTGTTAATTGAAAAAATCTTTTTAAATTTATTGAAAAATATATTTTTAATTTTCTTAAACAGTGGCATAGCAAATGTGACAATGGCCAAAGTAATAAAATAGTTGACTAATTTCAATAAAAATTTAAAATACTACTACTTATATTTAAAAAGGCCTTTTTTATGTGTTTCTTCTTGTTTTCTTTGGTGCCCCAAAAGACTTTTTTTTTTTTAAGCCTGGGGCGATGCCCTCCTTAGTTACTGGTATTACCTGAATTTATATCATTAACTAATTTTAAATGTTGTTTCACAATTTAAACAACAATTTAAATTAGTTTTCACTATTTGTGACGTTAAGTTTGTGATACGTTATTAATATTTATTTAGCAAACTTATGAGAAGGTATTGAAAGTTCGATCAAAGTTCAAAAAAAAAAAAAAAATTTTTCATTTTAAATTAGATCTTGAGTACTAGTTTTTATTTTTCATTTTTTTATTTTAACAATATCAGTTATCAATATGATTTTCTATATGTTTCAGGAAAAAATTTTTTTTTCTTTATGCTTGGTAAATAAATGTTCAAAGCTTAAGTGATCGAACTTAAATAATATTATTTTATTTTAAACTAGTTCATTGATGTGAGAGGTGATAATCAGTTTTTAATTTATTATTTTTAATTTTCATTGTAATTATATAATTTATATTGTCTAGTGTGAGATTATGTGTTTTACTGCTTTTATATACTGCACCTTTTTAATATTTATATATATAGCTCAGGTTTCTGCTCTCATAAACAGAGGATTCAGATTTCAAACTGTGAAGGCGACGCTTTTTCTATTCTTCATGTTATATCTGAACTATTATTAGTTATTATTTTTCTTACCATTTTATCTATATATTTTATTGTTTTATTAAGATATTTCATTTTGGTATGATAAAATGTATAACTTCCAAATTATATTTGGTTGTTTCAACTTTTTGCCATATTCAATACTACACTAAAAGATTACCATGTCTAATGTCCTGATTGCCATTCTCTAATGATAATTGCAGCATTAAAATGCACACCAATGATGTCATATTGAAATAGGTAGCAGCTGGGAAATCAGTACATACATTGACTGAGTATCTAAGTAGAAAATGCAAGGGAGAGCCCCTAAATTGACTAATGATTTAGGTTGTGGCAGCAACCTTTTTTTCATGAATCTTTGTTTTATTTTTATTTTTCTAAAAAATTAAAGTGCCATTTATATTTTAAATTGGTACTTTTAGGGAAGTAGAGGGTACTCAAAAGCAAATGGTAAAATGTTGGGGGGGGGGGAGTGGGTGGAATAAAAGCAAACATACTTTATGGACGATTCCTTAGAAGTTGTAATAATTGTTTCCAGTAATTCGACAAAAATAGAGACATGACACTCATACTGTATACTTATCCAAAAATATGTAAAAAGTATAAAACAATATATAAAAAATATCTTGCTTGAAGATTGAATTCATTTTATTGTATTTTCAGTAGTAGTTTTTTTAATTTTTATTTAGGAAAAATATGAAAGCATTCTTAATAACAAACCTGACACAACAAATGTTTTTATTATACGTAAAAAGTTAAAAGTTTTGAAATCAAAACACAGACATCTTCTTGCTGATATAAATGACATTGAAGAGGTATAGTTTTAATATATTTAGTTTTTGTTAAAAAAAATTATAAACAGAAACCAAGATACAAATTTCACTTAATTTTTTTTTATATATATTTTTTTTATTAATAAATCTTTTTTAAGGATTCTGAAGAAAATGAGAGCGTTAATGTTGAATTGGTATTAAATATTTAATTTAATGTTTATCAGAAGTTTTAAAAGTTTCAGGAATTATTTATTAAGTTTATAATTTTTAGCTTGAAGAAAAACTGAAAGAGCTTAGAAGAGATCTTCATTATGTTTTTGTTGAAGAGCTTAAAGAAATGGTATTTTTTATTTGTTTGATTGATTGTTTTATTTTCTATTATAAAATAATTATTATCTCTTATAAAAAAGATTTAATGGTAAATTAAATATTATAAAATTTTATCTGAAATTATAACTAACATATATATATATATATATATATATATATATATATATATATATATATATATATATATATATATATATATATATATATATATTATTTCTTATTTTGAATTTAATAAAATAAAGAATATTTAAATAATCTTAATAGTATAAATATAATAAATAAAATATTAAATTCTCAACCAATATATTTTGATTTGTGTGAATATTTATTTTACACTTATCCTGTTTGCTTTAAGTGAAACACAATGTGTCAAGTCAGAAATTAATAATTACAAATGACATTATTACAGAGTTTATGGCAAAATGGGAAAAGTTTTAAAATTTTATAAAGTCTAGGATTTTTTTTTTAAATCAGAGAAAACTCAGGAGATTTTTTTTTAGTCAAATTTTAAGTTATTTTGCAATTTATAAAGTTATTTTGCAATTTATAAATTTTGAGGTGATATTATAATAGTTATAAAACAGTGGTTTTATAACTATTATAACATATAGCAAACTATATATATTATAAATTTTATAATATCTTTGTGTTATTAGCAAGGTCTTTGATACTTGAGTTTAATAAATAATAACATCCCACTTTAAGTCAAATAACTTATTATCAGACAACCAATATAATTTTTGATCAACACTTGCTAACTGCTTTATTTCAACTCATTCATTCTAGTAACTTCCCAAGGTTCTATACTAAGTCCTGTTTTGTTTCTTATCTACTTATATACAGCTTTTCAAGTCTTTCATCGACTGTTTTCTTGCTTATAAACTCTATTTTCTATGTTTTCTAGTAATTCCCAATTTAATAGTGGTTGCTTGCTTCCTTGTTGGGAGTGAATCAGAATTAAATTAAAATTAATATATATTAATTTATTTAGCTAATGTTTAATTAAATATAATAATGTAAGATATAACTTCAGATAATTAATTCCTAAAGCTAATTCTATAAAACATGGTGGTTAAATAACTATAAAACAAGCGAGCGCTCTACCACTACACCACTACCGCATAAAATGCGGTAGTGGTGTAGTGGTAGAGCGCTCGCTTCATAAACGAGTGGTTCCGAGTTCGATCCCCACCACGTCTCTGGTAGTACCGAGCTCAACTCGTTTCTCCGCGCAGCGGCCTTGTTCGTCAAGGTTCGTGTTTTGGAGTTATAGAGTTAAGAGAGGGTTATAGCCACAAAATAAGTAGCCTCCTCGTTTGTAGTGGCCTTCTCGGCCTTGAGGAGGTGAAGTAAAATAAAAAAAATAAAAAAAAGCAAGTAAAAAAAACAATGAAATTAAGAATTTAAAGCTTTCTCAAACTCAGGGGAAAATTCCCTAATTTTCCCTTTTATTACATTATAGCATTATTTTGTTTTTAAAAAGTATTTTTAGTTTAAACTCATTTACAATTCAATTCCAGAGAAAACTTTTAAATCTATATGAAGATTTTCCCGAGTTAAGTCAACTGTATCCTGAACTTCATCTTGATAAGTTTAAGGTAAACTTTATTTATTTTATTTTTAAGATTTTATTAAAGAAATATATTTTCAAAATAAGACTATAATTAATAAATATATTAGTATACAATCATATATATTAAAAAAAAAAATAATATTTACGTTAATATTCCTGTATGGTAATTGCAAAAATGGAGCATATTGACAAAGTTCAACATCGCAGTCTTCATTCTTATCCTACTTTTTGTTTTATTTTGTGTTTGCAACACATCACACTTTTTCGGAGCATTTATCTCTTTCTGATGCTTAGGCAGGATGGATGTTATCTCTTTCTGATGCTGAGACTTGATGGATAATGTTGATTGATTGTAAGCGATTGAGTATAAATTTGTATTAGCAGTGTTCTAGGTTAGTATTAGCAGTTTTCAATAAAGTTTGAAGCTATGTTTTACAAATTATTTGAGCATTTAAGGCTGCTAGATTGATTAAACAAGTAAATACTTTTTTATTTAATCAATATTATTTACCCTTTTTTCTTTTCATTATGTACTAAGTCATCATTTGGTCACTTTTATCAACACTTTTCATATTTTTATTGTAATAATTGATAACTAAAGGAGTTTTCTGCACCTCTTTTTTTTTTTTTATTTAACACATATTTAGTTCAATCAATAATACAAGTTGAGATAGTAAACTTTTTTATTTTTCTAATATTAATATATTATTTTTTTTTTTTTAATTTTTAAAAATTATACATAAGTATATTTTTTTAACTCACAAGCTTTAATAGCATTAGGTAAACCTTTTAGTCTTTGTAAATAGTTTCTTTGGTATCTGTAGATCTTAGTGATAAAGTACCCTGTAGGAAGTATATAAGTTATCAATATCTAGTTTGTAACACAAGTAATCCACCAAAAATTAAAGCTTATTTTTGCTTCATAAGGATAATCTGAATTTTATTAGTCTAATAATTAAGAGTATATATCTTTTTTTTTTTTTAACTTATTTCATTTTCTTTATTAAGGGGCAACCCTCAAATTTTAAAACAACGCATATAAACTAACTTTTCTTAATCCAAACAGTAAATATTAGACAACATTAGAAATAAAAAAGATAAATGTAAAGTGGTAGCTCGTTGCTATGGCAACCAATAAAAATAGCAAAAAAAGAGTATTAATCTTTTTTTTTATATAAAAAGACAATTTTACTTCCAACTACTATTTGCAAATAGCAAATTAAGTTGGAATTTTAATGGTAACAAAAAAGAGACTTAAAGAAGAAGAAAAGACTTAGTTGCCAAATAAATTATAAACTGTATATTGTATGAGTCAAGAAAAATAATAAATATGCAGACAGGTGAAAATTCCAAAACACCGTTAGAAAGGGACGGTTCAATAGTTTGTAAAACTTTAAGATACACCATATTAAGTTTATAAAAGAGACTGGTATTGCAAGCTTTATTGAAAACCTTTGATATATTTAGAATATTAGTCTTGGCTGCACTGCTTCCATCTAATGCAAAAGATTTTTGCTAAAAAGATAAGTCAGTAGTTGAATAAGATGATGGAAATCTGTATTGATTGTCAGAGTAGGCTGCTGAGCTGAAGATATTAGAAGTTTGATAATTAAACATTCAAAGGTTTTTCTAATATTACAATAGCCTGATGCAGATACCATACGATACTGTACGGTGGTTAGATACAGATCAGAACGATCTCTAGATATTTTACTGAATTGGAATTTATATTCATTACATTAAACAATAATTAGGTGAATCAATTCTAATTTTACAACAAATAGGTGAATATATAAGTACCCAGGCCAATCATTAAAGCATATAAATTGTTTGGTCACAATAATAGATTTTTTTTGTAAAATGTTTTTAGTTGTTACAGATTCAAATAATTTAAAAGATAATGACTCAAACATAGATAGTACATAGCACTCTTATAGCAATAATAATAATAATAATATACATATAGCAATAAGCTATGCAGTTGGCTTTACTCTGGTAAGCAATTTAAGCTATAAAAAATTGCTCCTTATGTGGCCTAGACAATACACACCAGAATTAATAACAAGGATACCATCCATGCTCAATATAGCACTGTTAATACTCTAATATTTTTTAGTTAATGATGGAATCTGCTTCTTTGAGACCTATCACAGAGTTAGGGAACTTATACTTGTCAGCTTCAAAATTAATAAGCTGGATTTTGGTGCTATACACTCATTATAAAATTGCAGAAAAAGTTGGATATCCACTACCAGGTATGCAAAAAGCCATAATTTAAGTCAAGAATGATCAAGCCTTCGTCACACTAGGCAAAATATCGCAGTTAATGACATCTCTGTTTAGTTATTAGAATAAGATAAGGTATAAGACGGGTCAACAGAAATTTTCTTAGGAATTAGTTGTTTTTTATCCAATAAAACAATAGACTTTTGGACGTTTGTGAGTTAAAATGTACTTTTAATGAATGACTTTTTTTAGTCAGCCTAGTTAAATGAGTTTAGCAGACCGATCAAGTAAATAAACAATATTCTTTGTTTGTCTAACAGAAACTGCTTAAAATACTATACTAAAAGTAGATACTCAAAAGTTAAAAGAATTACCTTTTTATTTTGGTTGACTATTATTTTAATAAATATTTGGTTGAGTTGCTAGTTGTTTTATTGTTTTTTTAAGCAAACCTTAAACTGTTTTATGTTTGCTTAGATAGTTTATTAGAAAAATGGCTCTAGCTTATCGTGACGTTAGAATAATCGGGTTTTATCTCCTTTTTTTAACGTGGAGGGAATTTAGCTTTTGATTTTAATGGATTAATTATTTTACAACTGTTGTTGTTTATATTGATAAAATATATGCCTTTTATATTATTTATGTTTTGTAATTAATCTTATATAATTGATTTTTTAATTTTTAAAATTTTTTGCTTACAAATTATTTGTTAACTCCAACTTTATAAAATAGGTTTGAAATTAGCAATGAAAAAACAAAATCAAACGTTTTTAAATATTTTGTAAATAATAATAATAAGATTGATTCATTTAAATTATATAATTTTAAACATAAAAATAATACAGTAAATAGAAACAAAAAATTAATTTTTTTTACCCTGAAAATTAGGAGATAAAACCTGATAATTCTCATGTACCAATACGCTATTTTGTCTTGTACCATTTTATATTACTTAATATAATAATAAATGTGTTTTAAGTAATCAATTTTTTTATTACTTAATATATAATAATAAATGTGTTCTGAGTAATCAATTTTTTTATTACTTAATATAATAATAAATGTGTTCTAAGTAATCAATATTAACAAATTTAATGTTTTGATCTTTTATTTTAAGGAATTTTGCAAATTTTTTATTTTAACTTTAAAAATTAAGTGAGTATAATAAATTTTGTTGAATTCTGTCAACATTACAAAAAGGAAGATGAAACTCTATTATTCTAAGATCACGACATGTTTAAGGATTTTATTCTATTACTAAACTTGAAATTTTCTTAATCTAATTTTTTCAGCTTTTAAGCCAACATCTCTCAAATATTTATAATATAAAGAAGGCTGCATCTAGTGTTTTAATTTATTATATGTATTATATATTGTGGTTTTTGTGTGTTTAATATAACTATTATAAACTGTTTGTAAAATATAGGTATCTAATGGACTGCTTCAAAGCAGTCGAAGCTTAGAATATTATTCCCATACCCCGATGAAAATACTTGGAGAAAAAAGCAAACAGACAACATATAAAAGTTTTTTTAACAATCAACCGTGTGTACTTAAGGTAAGTGCCCATTTCCAATCAATTTTCATTAAATATCTTGTAAAATTTTACCTTTAGTTATGTACAGATTCATTTGTATAAAATTTTTTAGGAGGTTAATATAGATGAAAAGTTTGTAACCTACACTGACGTTTTGTCCCGGTTAATCGAGCATGAAAAATTGTTTGAAAGACATGGTTGTCAAAGATGGCAGAAAACTGATTGCCTATTTAAAGATAGGGTAACTTTTTAAATATTTATATTAAGTGCGATTTAGCTTCTTTTGCTTTTGCTGTGTATAGGTTTTTTGCTTAATTTATGTAAATAATAATGTGCAATTTTTTAACGGTTGGTTCGGTTCCAACGCCTTTCTTTGTTGCTAATTAGTTGTTAAATTTTTAGGGAGAACGTAAACTTTATATTCAAACTTCATATTATGAAGAAGGAAACATTGAGGAATTCATTAAAAAGAGAAAACCTAATAATAGTATCATTGCTAATATTTTAAAACAGATTCTGCTGGCATTAGACTCTCACGACGGAGTATACGGCTCTCTGAAGCCAAATAATATATATGTAAAAAACGAAATGGATAACTATGTTGTTGTTTTAGGCGAACCAAACTTTTTTGAGACAATGGTAATTTTTTTTTTTTTTAATTTTTTTTTTTTGCGCTTGAATGAAAATGGTGTGAAGTGGTAGAATTTTTGAAAAATTTTCGTTTAAAACATTTGGTAAGTTTAAGGCTATAATGATGTGTATTGATGATAAGTAATAATGGTAATGCGGCTTTATTTTCTTAAGTTTCTTGTGTTTTGAAATTAAAATTTTGTTTAATATTATTCAAGGAACGCCGTATGAATTCAAGTATATTTGTGCACAAGTCCATATTAGGGTACCCTGTTCTTGATATATTTCAAGAGCTGCCATCACCACAGTTTGACGTTGTTTGCTTTGCTGGGTTAGCATTATGGGTAATTTTTTCATTGTTGTTTTGTTTTGTTTTGCGTAATTTGTTAATTTTTTTTTTAATCTATAATATTTTGTTTTATTTTTAGATGTTGTATCCGGATGGGCCTTTTTCGCAAAATATCCATTCAGATATTGAAGTTATTGTTCAGGCGAGGATTTAGTGTATTGCAATTAAAAAGTGTTGTGATGTGTCAGGGGGTATCAGGGTAATTAAAATGTGCATTGCAATTGAGATGTATTGTGCCTTAATGATAATTAAATCTTTTCAGGATGGAGAGTTAAAAACCTTGTTTAGAAGAATCTTAAGTTTGACACCGGCTGATCGATCCACTTTTAAAGAAATATTAGCCCATCCTTTCTTTGCAAATATAAATTTGGAACGTGAGATGACAACCGAAATAACGAATAAAGAAAAAGATGTAATTTTTATTTTTGAATACTTCAAAAATGATTTATAAAATTTATATAATCTACATAAATGTAATCTTTTATCTCTATATGAAAAGTATTGCAGCGGTTCTTTTTTAAACTAAAATTTTGATTTTCTGCAGTACGATGATGATATCCTCAGTTCTGATACGTTGCTTGTTGAATTAGTCGATAAACTAGATGGTCTTATGAAAAAGGTAAAACCTATGATCTACGTAATAATACAATAAGACCACCTGGTTGTGGTCAATTAACTTTTATTATAATATTTTTTTGATAAATAATATTTTTATTTATGATAAAACCTTCCTTTTTTTTTTGATTGTTTTTTATATTTTTTTATATCACATTTTATATTCATAACAAAAAGAAAAAATATTTCAGGATGATTATATCGAAGAAGTAGAAAAAGACCAGTGTTTATCGATTGACGGCGATATTGAGAATGATGAAAAAAATAACGAAGTTGCACTTTTAGCATGGTGTGATATGCTAGAGAAAAAAAATCATTTGCGTAAAACATTAATCGCAAAGCCCGAAGAGTCACTTATTTCTGATAATGAAGATTTTTGAAATATATTTTGTTTTTTTATCTGGTGCTAAAACAAAGCCAGAATTATCTTTTTATCTTTTTGAAAAAAATAATGCTTGAGTTGATTGAATCTTGAGTTGTTGTTGTTGTTTTTTTTTTGCGGCTTTCGGCTTACGTTTTTTTTGAGTCATAATTCAAAGAGTTGGAACGAAATATTGACGAACCTAACCGTTCCACAGTGGGCCAGCTATGGACAAAAGATTAGATCATGTCAATATTTTGACATGATCTAATCTTTCTGAAAATCACATATATATGTGTGTGTGTATATATATATATATATATATATATATATATATATATATATATATATATATATATATATATATATATATATATATATGTAAAATTAAAGTTATTATATTTGTTTTTTAATAATTAGTCACCTTTCCGGACGCTTTATAAAAAAATTGTTAACTTTTTATCAAATTATCATAATTTTAAACAAAAGTATGGTACACATTGAGTACAATTTGCTATGGTACAAAATTTTACATAGCAACAACTTATTTTTACATTAGAGATCGTCCATAAAGTACGTACGCTCGGAGAGGAAGAAGGGGTCTGCAAATGGCGTATATGAGATGGGAGGGCAGTGGGTCAATTATAAAAGAAAAGAGACACTAAATTAAAAAAAATATATCAAATGTTAGATAAATAGTTAAAAGTGTAGGTATTTTTAGGGAGGTAGTGGGTACTTAAAATGCGGGGATCGTCGAAAAAAAAAGCGTACGCACTTTAAGGACGACCCCTTACCGTTATTAAAACAATTTTTCATTCGTAATATGTACACTATATTAAATATGAGGTTCGCACTTCTTATGGAAACCATAATTTTAATTAGTTGCTATGGGTACTTTGTTTTTTTTATTTATTTTTGCATATCAACAGTATTAATTGTGCCAAACATTAAAATAAACATGAAAGATGGTAAAGTGGCATTAGCCTTATCAGTTGGGACCAATAAATCACAGTCCTGCTCAGTATGTGGCAGCACACCAAAAGAGATAAAACAATATTGAAAAATTAGTAGCAAAAAATGAAAATGCAAACTATTCTGGTCTACAGTATGGCTTGCCGTTATTATTATTAGAACGATGGAATGCTGTCTTCACCTTGCTTACAAAATAGATAATTAAAAATGGCAGGCACGTAGCGCAAAAGAAAAGCTATCTGTGACGATAATCAAAAAAAAAAAGCAAGATGCCTTTAAAAATCTTTGATTAATTATTGATTTGCCCAGATCAGGTAGTTCTGGGATATCTAATGATGGAAATACAGCTCGTCTTTTTTTCCAATCTAAAAGTAATATGACTGAAATTTTAAAGCTGGATGCACTACTGCTGAAAAAGTTGCACGTTATCTTGGCCACATTGTCATCAGCTCTGCTAATTAATGCAGATGCATGTCAAAAACCTGTTAAGCAAGTTTATTTTTTAATATTATTTCTATACTGAGCTGTGGCTAACTTAGCTTTTGTAATTAAATGATTGATTGCCTCTTTTAGGTTGCTCATTTGTTTGTACAGTGTTACCCATGGTATTTCATGCAACAGCGTTTTAATTTTTTAACTGTGACTAAGCACTAAGAAGTTCTTGATACAATTCTTCTGCATTGCAACGCAAAAATACTTTGTTTTTAAGCTTTTTTCCTAAATTCTAAATAGGATTTAGGTCAGGAGATTGAATTGCAGCAACTTTATTTGTTTTGAGCCATGCTTTACCTTGTTTTGATGTGTATTTAAAATCGTTATTTTGTTGGAATGTCCACTTAAGAGGCAATTTTTTTATATGTGTGTTTATCCATTATTCTTTCGATGCGTCATAGTGGTCTCAACGCAGAAATTCCTGAAAAGCACCCCCAAACCATTAAGCTTTTTTCACCTCAATGTTTAAGGTTCCTACAGTGTACATTGGTTTTAATTGTTTATCAACAGAACTTCAAACATTTTGTTTACCATCTGAACCACTTATGTTAAACTTAGATTCATCTGACCATAATACTTTTCTCCACTGTTCTTTTGTCCAACTTTTGTAAGCTTTTGCAAGCTCTAAAATGCTTTTCGGTTTTTTGTACATTTTTATTTTGCTGCACAATAACCATACAATCCTGCTTTATCCAAACGTCTTCCTACAATACTTTCTGAAATATTTAGATGAACTTCATCAACACTTGCACTAGCAAATGGGTTCTTTTTTACATGCCTAATAATTCTACGATTAGTATGTAGACTACTTTTTTTTTGGCCGTTAACCTAAATGCTCAATTTCAACAATTCCTTTTGTTCTATATTAATAATGATGCTAAAATCCTCAGTATCTTTTATTAGTTCCTAAAAAGAAAAACTTCTGAAGTTTCTATTCTATGTAAAAACGCAGTGGGCACGGGACGTAAAAAAGACGTCTTTAAACGTCATTTGAACTTCTTTTAAACGTCTTTTGAACGTTCAAAAGACGTTATTTTTTGGTCCGTGCCGAGTGGCGTCGCTGAGGTTGGTGTCACCCAGAGCAGTAAATTTTTATTGTGACCCCTCCAGACTAGTAGGTTAAGGGGGAATCTAAAAAAAGGTCCTTTAGAAAAAAGATTCTATCATATTTGCTTTTAATTTATTTTGGTGACCCCTCTATGTCACGTCGTGATGGTGTCACCCGGTGCGGACCACACCCCAAACAACGCCACTACCCGTGCCCACTGGGAAATAAGGTTGAAATTACACTGTAAATTAAAAAGTTTCTTGGTGGTTCTTTGATAATTCTTTAAAGAGCCTAATAGTTCTTGGATAAAATTTAAGGTTTTTTAACAGAACTTGCAGTTTCTTACAATATTATATATTAATATACCAATTAATTTACTTTATATACTAAAATATTAATATCATAATTTATTTAATTTACTGATATACTAGGTTTTTGGAGAACAGTCATATTTTTTACAAAAATGTACAAAGAACTCCTAAGGTTCTTGGCATTGTTATTTGGCTTCAATCACTTGAATAATTATAATTCATATCTTCACAAAATATTTTTAAAAACACCATTTTATTTTTGTACTCACTCATTTATTAGTTTGGAAAATGTGGGTTTGTAAGGTTTTTATAAATCTTGGATAAAATCAATCAGATTGATATAAAATTGATAGTAAATAACATTTTTTGACAACATTTAATTTTTGCTTTAAGATAGTTGTCATATAAAAAAGGTGATTTTGAGAAATTAAAAGAAATCTATTATATTTAAGCGTTTATATAATTTCTTGGAGAGAATGAAGTTGATTTAAAAAAAAATCACAATATCAACAAAATTCATGACATTACAAAATGCTTTAAGTCAGTTTTGTTTATGTTGTTTTATCTGTTTTCAGCTAAATTTTAGGATATTCTACAGTACATCTAGATACTTCATTTAACCGTCAGATTTTACTAAAAAAAACTATTAAAAAAAGATATGCATTTTTGGATGAACCCATAGATTTTCAATAATTTTGTTGGAAGTTTTGGAACTTTTGGGTCTAAAATTAGTATTTAGAGTGTATTTAGGTTTATAAATCAGTATTTAGAGTGGGGGTCATGTATGAGTACCACCTTAAATACTGAAATTTTTTTGTTATCACTGTTGACATCAACATTGATAATAAAGACAGGGCCGGACGGGGAAGGGGGAGGGTCTAGCATTCTACAAATTTTATTTGTCAGCAAATCGTAAACTGAAATCGACAAATTTGGATATATGGTTGGCAGTCGACAAATGTCGGCCAAAGAACATCTTTTATAAACTGAATATATTAAAAAATAATATATTCAGTTTATAAAAGATGATTATTTTAAAATGTTCGTTCATCATTCTTATTAAATTTATCTTTCAGTTATATGTGTTTTTAAAATTCAAATTCGGCTTTCAGGTAAATTTGGTTCAAAATCCGAATTTGTTTTTCAGTAAATTTAAAGAAAACATTGCAAAGCTTATATTAACATATTAAGTAAATAAAAAAATTAAAAGAATTTAAAGCCATTTATGAATTAAGGTTAACTTTTTGAAATGTTTTAGTCCCATGTTTATCTTGTAAAACTTTAGTTAAAGTTTTTTTAAGAAGTTAGTGAACTTTACAAGCACAGTATAAAATTCACAAAAAACTACACATTAAAAATATAAAAATCAAGGTTAGGAACAAAATTTATATTTTGCGAATCAAGTAAATATTTTAGTAATTTTAATTAATGTAATTTTAGTAATTTTAAATAGTAATTTTAAATAATGAAAAGAAACGTGTGAGAAATGCAATCATTCAAATAACATTGTTGTTAAATTCTCTAAATCAACATTTTCATACTTAAAAAAAAAAAATTGGGTTAATCACAAAATCATTTAAAAGCCCACAAGGACATGCAAAACTTTTAATGAATTTATTCGAATAATGAAGGAAATGCTTAAGTTTAATTGGATAGCACAATTGAAATAAACCATAATCATGCAAACGAAAGCATTTTTATAATGTAAAATTAGTATGATTATTTTTTGACAATATAAGTAAATGTTCTTTACGGTTTCTATTCAAAAATGAATGCAAAGAAAGAATTTTAAAGAATAAATTATTTATAGCTAAATATAGCTAAATTTTAAAATTATGCATATAAAAGTTATTACTTATAAGCTTTATTATTATAGAAAAAACTATTATTACAATGTAAAAAACTTTTTTTGTTACTACTTCCTAAACTATCATCATGTATTTTTTCTTTTTGTGTAACAAATTAAGTGAAGCAGAACTCAATTATTCAAATTTTTCAATCTGCTATTGTCGGCACAAAAAGATTTAAAACTTCAAACGTTAACTTAATCTACAGATAGGATTAAAGAATCTCGAAAATCCAACAAACTGTATAGAGCCCAAATCTAATCAAAAAATGTCAGAACTAATTTAAGT